ATTAATAAAGTATTTGTTGAAGTATTAATTAATTAATTAAATTATTTATTGGAGGGAGAGCAGCCACTGTAAGGATGACGTCACGGAGTGGCAGACAGCCGTGCAATCAACCACGTCCATTCACCATATATCCACACGCACATTGTTCCATGTGACGTTGGCACGTGCAAGTTCGTCTACGCGCGCGCGTGCGTGTGTGTGTTTGTTGGAATGTGTGTGTGTATGTGTTTGTTTGTATTTGTTTGTATTTGTGTGTGTATGTGTTTGTTCGTATCTGTGTGTGTTTGCGTGTGTGTTAGCATAAGATTGTTTAAATGTATTGGTAATTTTACAGGAGTGTTTATGTGTTTGTAAATTCAATCATGTTTAATCGTTTGTTTGCAATGTATGTGTGTGCGTGTGTGTGTGTGTGTGTGCGTGTGTGCGTGTGTGTGGGGCTGCCTTTCATAAGCTTGTGTGAGCTTTCATAAGCTTTCATTCTATGCAGTTTTTGGTTTTTCTAAAATTTTAATTTTGTATATTAATTTTGTATAATAATTTTGTATATTAATTTTGTATATTAATTTTGTATATTAATTTTGTATATTAATTTTGTATATATATAAAGAGAGAGCGTATTTGTGGGTGTGTGTTTGTTTGTGTGGATGTGTGCCCCTGTATGTGTGTGTGTATGAACGTGCATCTCATGCATATTAATGATGCCTGTTTTAAACAGTTGGAGGTCCAATGATGGAATGTTCCATATTAATCATCCCATTTAACTTCTCCAAATACTTTGCTTCTGTGTGTGTGTGCGTGTGTGTTAACGTGTATGCTTGTGAATGTGTATGTGTGTGAATGTGTATGTGTGTGAATGTGTATGTGTATGCTTGTGGATGTGTATGTGTGTGAATTGTATGCGTGTGAATGTTTTAGGCTGTTGAAATGCTTTGAAGACGACGGTGCAACATACAAGAATAACAGTCCCTCACATACAAGAACACACAAACGTCTGTCACAATACAGATAAAAACATACCTCAAAACTACGGGCGACTTCACATACAAACATGCAACCAGTCTGTGGCAGTCGGATGAAAAATATCCAAATCCCATTCCGACTCCGGCCCCTCAAAAACATCCCACCCCGACTCCGGGTTCCAAATTACAAAAAATTTTTCATCCTTTGCTTCATAAAATAAAATAACTAAATAAAATATTTATTATCAACACTAAATAAAAAAATTTAAACAGACAACTTAAAATCAGCCCATGTAGGTAAATGCTTTTCTTCGTAGAGTTACTTTATTTTTGCGTTTTAAAACATTCGGAGAGGAAGTATGTGATTTTGTTCACATTACTAGCATTCATTTTCTGATCTTCAGTATTTAAGGTTATTGCTTTTTGCTACATATATTTGTCCTCATAAAAACAATTTTACATAATAAAAAATTAAAAAAAAAATAGCGTCCTTCGAAGTTGAAGTCAGATAAAAAATTCGGTTCAGACTCCGGCCCCTAAAAAAAATCCCAATCCGGCAAAAATCTCCCACTGCGACCGACTGCGACCAACTGCGACCGACTGCGACCAACTGCGACCGACTGCAACACTTTGCATGTTATATCACAAAACAATCAAACATCTTGAGTTATGCAACAAACAACAAGAGCATACAAAATGGATGTACACATAAATACAAAACACCTTACAAAACCAACGACATCACTCAGCAACAACAACAACTCACAACTACAACACAACAACAACAACACAACATAGACCATTAAACAAAACGTTCAAGTGAAAACATAGACAAGAAATGCACAGAGTTCCTTGGACGATAATATATGTTCAATAAATTTCATTTCATCTTCATCAATAATTCACTCTTCAAATCATTGTACATTTTGTATCTGCGTATGTTTGTATGTATGTTTTGTACGTGTTTGTTTCAATGTATGGGCTTTGGTGAGTGTGTTTGTATGTCTGTTTGTATTTGTGTGTTGTATGTGTATTTGTATGTGTGTGTGGGTGGGTAGGTAGGTAAGTAGGTAGGTGAGTGGGTGGGTAGGTGGATGGGTAGGTAGGTGTGTAAGTGGGTAGGTAGATAGGTAAGTAAATAGGTGGGTAGGTGGGGGTAGGTAGGTAGGTAAGTAAATAGGTGGGTGGGAAGGTAGGTAGGTAGGTAGGTAGGTAGGTAGGTAGGAGGGTAGGTAGGTAGATGGCAAGTTGCTTATGTTAGTTGTTTCCAAGTAGCTGGAAATATTTTGTTTTGTTTGCAGGTAGTTGATTTAATAAAACAGTTCGCGTGTTGTTGTGCGTTCGTGTGTGTCGTCGTATGTTGTCATGTTGTTGTTGATAATGTTGTTGTTGTTGTGTGATGATGTCGTTGTAGTCTGTACTATGTTGCTGCCTTTGAAGCAATGTTTGGACGTGTGTTCACGTGCCTCCTCAACCACAACCACAACAACAACAACAACACAACAACAACAACAACAACAACATCAAATAATCATCCACATCAATACTAACAACAACTACAAGTCAACAACTACAACAACACAATTACAACACAACAACAAAAACAACAGCAACAACAACAACACAGAAACAAGTGTTCATCGTTTAGTAAATAAACATAAACACGCTCCGCCCAACGTCATCGACGTCACACTTTTCAACAGCCAATCAAGACGCCCACTTAGTGACACGTGACTTTCTTTCTATAAACTTCCTTCTTACCTTAAAATTCATCCATTCTTTCACGATCCAGCGAGTGGATGAACAGTTGAACATGAACAGATGAACCGGTGAACGAGAAAGTTGTTATGAAATAAATTTTTGAAAAATGTTGAAAAAAATATGAAAAAAAAAACAAAAAACAAAATGGCAGACAAAGGCTCAACCGAAATTTGTAATCAACATCAAAATAGTAAAACCGTTGCCATCATCATTACCATCACCACCACCCTAAACACATCGTCATCATCATCATCACCATTACCACATCATCATCATCATCATCACCACCATCATCACCACCACCACCACATCATCATCATCATCATCATCGTCCTAAAAGACGTTATTAAAGAAATCAATCATCTGCTTGACTACTTCCCGCCATCTATTCACTTCATTATTGGCTGGCCAGTTCTTGAAAGTAGGTCACGGGGTCATATCATCATATGGGTCAAGCTATTTTATATAAGTCAAGTTGTATATCTTGATATATATATATATATATATATATACATACATATATAATATATGTGTGTATGTGTTTGAGCATGTGTTTGTGTGTTTGGGCGTGCGTGTGTTTCTGTGTGTGTGTGTGCGTGTCCGTAGCAGATAAACAAGCTGTTCCCAATATTCATTATACATTTTTCGTCATCGTCATCATTATCACCAACATCGAAAGTTATCACTATTATTGTTATAATCATCACCACCATCATCACCACCACCACCACCATCATCATCATCAACACTACCATTGCCACCACTATCATCATCATCATCGTCGTCGACAGTGTTATCATCACTACCACCATTACCCTCATAATCCCCGAATGTGCTACTCCTTATAAATATCCCATTCTCACTCATACTATCTTCAGAACATCGTCATCACTACCGTCATCACAACGATTATCATCATCACGACCCTTATCATCATCATTACCACCATCATCACCACCATCATCATCACCATTATCAAATGCACTCATCACCACCACCATCATCAGAAGCACCATCAGGCACCCACCACAACCACCACACTCACTCACACCCAGATACGATCTCTTGTTGAATTCTTTATTAACAACATCAATGGCGCGAAGATTCTTTAATAATAACAACAATAATAATAATAAAAATAATAAAAATACTAATGATAATAATAATAATGATGATAATAATTATAATAATTATGATGATGATAATAATTATAATAATTATGATGATGATAATAATTATAATAATTATGATGATGATAATGATAATAATAATGATGATAATTACACAACTACCATCACTACCATTATCTTCTTTTTCATCATCACCATCACCGTTCTAATTTGTTTCCAGTGTTAAAAATTATTAAATTATTTCTAATTAATATTTAATTTAAATGTTAAATTATCATAAATGAATGAATGAATGAATGAATGATATGGATGGATGCCGGCGCATAATATTAATAACTGTTTAGTCGGGGACTGAAAGTTTTTGAAGCAGGTCCTACCGGCATCAGAACGGCGCGAGACATGGCACTTCTAACGTCTGAGCTAACTCTTCCATGTTTTATGGACATCTTGAAATATGCTCTCACCTGGAGTTCCGTGTTCTCTTTCTTGGAGATATCAAGAGCGTGTTCCTCGGGTTCCGCTAGAACATCAACAGCTGCACGTTGGGCATGGAGCATGGTCTTTTAATCAAATTAAATCTCTTTCACTAGATAAAGCTAGTTGAGGTAAGTTGAAGTGAAGCACTTACAAACATTTTTATATAGGCGGAAGGACACAGAACACACACACACAATAGCAAACACATACATACACATGCACGCACACATAACTTAATTGGACTTTCCATGGAACGGATATTAAGCACATTCCTGGATTCTCATGCAAGTGTTCAGTGAATGTTGTAAAATTTTGTTGATGTAGATTTTGTGTGTGCGTGTGTTTGCGTGCGTGTGTGGCCGCATAGTAGCCATCATGGTGTCGATTTGAATATTTCACAATGGCGTCAATGTCCACTCCTGACTGTGAATGACGTTGTTAAGAATTCTGTTGTTTCTCTCTTTTGCATCTCTTTGCAATGCCTCCCGTGCCATAGAGGTTGTACCATCCCCCCAGCTCACCACACCAAACCAGTTGCATGCAGACTCCTCAACTGTGACAAATGTTTGATTGTCCTCGTGTTGCAGATAGACGGGCATCAAACGATCGGCGAATCTTACCATCTCATCGGTTTGTGAAGATTGTTTGATATTTTGAAGCCCGAGAGAACCGACTCCGAAAAATAAAAAATACTTTAGTCATTAATTTATTTACATATCTTTATCATTTTGTGGAAATATTTTGATCTAACTTATGGTTTTTGCCCAAAAGCATCGTGTATCTTCTGGTAAAAAGCGCGTACCATACCCATGGACGGACATATTATATATATCCGCGACCATACCTCCAGAAAAAAATCGGCCTTTCAAAATTATTTTAAAAGAAACTGTCAAAAACTTAATTTGAACACTTAAATTTAGACATAGATACTCAAGCAATGGATCCAAAAAAATTAAGATCAGAAATTGTTTGCTATGGAGAAGCAGAAATGGGAAGAATTTGTAAACATTTCAACTCAGACGAACCGGGATGCATTCTCGGGTCGGATTAAACGATTCGTCTGATGGCATAACAGATTGTTCCCGAAACCTCCAAACAGTATTTAAAACAATTTCAACGTTAGTTCAACAGACGAACGCGAATATCACAACACATTTAAGAGCATCTCTGCTCTGATGCCGCACCACTATGCAACTGACAAAAGTACTTTACTCGTGAAAACACCAGAGAAAATAATCACGTCGCTTTAAAATCTTATTTTAGGAAAAATTGTTTGTTAAATTTCATTAAAAATCACTAACGCGGGTAAGAAAGGCAAAAAAATTGCCAACCCGGCATACAGAAGATGACCGTCACACACGAAGTAACGCAGGCAAGTTATATCTTCAACATTGTAATTTCAAACATTTCGAACAAAGAAACGAGGAAAAAACGAAAAAACAAAAAGTAGAAACTGTTCAATTGTTTGCTGACAATGAATTAAAAAATTGTTTGCTGTTGATCCCTGAAACATTAACTCCGCGAGAGACAACATCACGAAAGTAATAAATTATTGAGTACATTAATCATTAATGTTACGGAGGGACAACATTAAAAACATAGAAACAATAAGGTCGGCGGTCGTTAACGTCATCTATGCTATAATTCACAACATCGTTATCCAATAGTTGTGACCAGTCAATCAATCAATCAATCAATCAATCAATCAATCAATCAATCAATCAATCAATCAATCAATCAATCAATCAATCAGTAAGTCACTTCAGCTGTCACTCCTCACCAATCATCTGTCCTTTCACCTGTTGCAGAAATGAATGTAATTAACTCATTTAATGTATCGACAATATTATCATCATAATCATCATCTCTATCATCATCATCAAGAAAGAAACAATAAAGAACAACAAAGATGTTAGTCAACGTTGAACGAAAAAAAAACATTTATTGAGACGAATGTTGCAAAAAAGGTTGAAACACTGAACAGTAGACAACTCTGAAAGTAAAAGGTCTATTATTATTATTATTTATATACGCTTTTTATTATTTTTATACGCTTTATTATTATTATTATTAATATACGCTTTTTAGATTACCTCCAAAGCGCTCATTAACAATGATTAAAACAATTTATGTCAAGTTTCATTGATAGAAGAGTTAAGTCTTAAACAACTTTTTGAAATTCTTGATAATGATAATGCTGACTTATAAAGCCAGAAGATGTTTTTTGTTTCGAGGCCGCCTCAGTCGCTTGCCAGGACACTTTATAAGTCAACATTATCATTATCTTGGCAGGGAGACCAGGTTGTCGCGAGTAATCCGGCAGACTATTCCATACTTACTTCTGGACTAGCAGTTGACCCAATCAAAACGGTAAAAAAAAAAACAAAAAATCGCTAAAAAATCTTCTTGTTCTTGTTGGCACTTAAGATATGCCCACTCGGTCAAAAAAAACTGATTGAACCAGACCTCAAAGACGGACAGCTCTCGTTGCTCGAGAACTCCGACACGGAACCAACATGCTGCTCTTCGAGAAACAAGACCTGCTGACGAGGGATCCATTAGAGGACTCAATGGTGCTAACATGTTCTTTTGGAAAGGTAAAGCAAAAAACAAAGACCGGATTTATGGTGTGGAATTGTCTGTCCGTACCTTACTTCTTCAGCAAACGTCAAATTTGTTATTCGGCGTCAGTTAACGTTTAATTAAGCTTCGTTTTCCTCTTGCTCCCTCCCGCTACCTCACTATCATCAGGGCCTACGCCCCAAACCACGCATTCTTATGCACGCGTCGGTAATGGCCAGATGAGCTGGAAGGACATCCTGGGTGCTCGCTCACGCAACTGGAGCAATGAATAACAATGGATGTCAGAATCACTCGCACGCAAAACAACGAAGGCACCACATCAGCCGACAGCAGCATCAAGACGACATTACAATAATACAACGACGACAACAACAACAACAACATTGTAGAAATTTAATAACTTCAACAAAGAGGGCAGCAACAAGAACCTCCAGATTCATATCTCCACCGTTACAAAGGTTCATACCAACAAAACAATTAAGGGCAGCTAAAAAGAAAATTTCATTTAAACTCGTAACATAATTTGTTAAAAATAACTTTAAACACGTAAAAACAGCACTTATCATCATCATCATCGCATTAACCCTCAATCACCAGCATGCTGCCTCTTCCTCTTTAATGCTTCCTCCACAACCACCTCCTCCCCACTCAAGCCCCTATTTCTTTTCTTCCTCGTCATTCCTTCACCGATTTTTTTCCTGCCATCATCATCATCATCGCTGTCATCATCATCATCATCAATTATCAGACCACCGTCATCCTCATCATCAGTGCCATTACAGCCAGTGCATTCATCATTTTTATTATTATTATTGTTATTTTTGTTGTTATTATTATTGTTGTTATTAATATCCTGGCTGTCCACTGTTTCAATGTTCATCCTAGCAGGTACACATCAATGAAAATTTTATAATAATAATAATAATAATAATAATAATAATAATAATAATAATAATAATAACAATACTAGAGATAACAACAACAATAATAATAATAACGAGAATATTCGTAATAAAAACGATATTTTTTGCTACTACTACAACTAATAATATTAATAATAATAAAAATAATAATAATCATAACAATAACAACACATGAATAACTAGT